GGTGACTGAGGAGGAAAAAGGACTGGCAAGACAAGAGGAGGGGAGGAGGGGGTGCCGCAGCCTTTCAATCGAGGGTGGTGCTGGGAGATATGATGCGGTTGCGGATGGGAACTTGGGATGTTGTGTCACGTGATATATGCATGGTTTGGTAATGAGCGCTGAGGGGGTTTTGATTGGTGGGGGGCGCATTTTGGGTGATCTTCAGCTGGATAGCCGCTGGGTGGGTTGCTTCAACTGATTTTGTACCTGTTGGTGATTGTCTGTTCACTTTCTTTATTACTCTTCTTTTTTGTCTCTGTAAGGGATTATTTATTGGATTTGTTGTGATAGGGGGAGAGAAAGGATTATTGCTAATTGAGGATTTCGACTACGTTATGGAGGAAGACAACGATCGGCCTAGAAAGCTTCCTAAGCTTGATCACGACGAGTCTCAGGATTCTGAGCCCAGAATGACCGGTGCGCTGCAGGTTGCTGATAATGTCTCTACGGCTGCTACGGCTGGAACGGACAATGGCGACAATGAGCAACCTACCATCACAGCCGAGAATGATACTACTACTACTACTACCCACGGCGCCGCCGCCGACAGCACTACAGTCCCCACCACCGAAGATGGAGCGCCCAAGATCTCCAAGCGCGAGATGAAGCGCCAACGCCGCCGTGAGCAATGGGACCAGCAGCGCGATCTGCGACTCGCGAAGCGCAAGAAAACCGCACAGGCGCGTAAAGAGCGCCGCCGCGCAGCGTTCGAGCAGGCGCGGCTGGACGGCACGGAAGCCGAACTGAAGAAGCAATACGAACGGACTCAGGAGCGCTTCCGCAAGTCGACGCTGCTGCCGCTTACATTGGTGATTGACTGCGGATACGACGAGTTGATGTTGGAGAAGGAGCGGATTTCACTGGGATCGCAGATCACGCGGTCGTACTCGGATAACAGTCGGTCGGTGTATCGGTCGCATCTGGTGTTTTCCTCGTTCAATAAGAAGTTGAAGGAGCGGTTTGATACGAAGTTGAATAAGCATTACTTGAACTGGAAGGGGGTTAGGATCCTGCCGGATGATTTTGCCGAGGTGGCGGAGAAGGCGAAGGAGTGGATGGTTGTTCCTGAGGGGGGTAAGATGGAGGGAGTCTTTGCTGATAAGACGGATATGAAGCCTGAGGATGGGGAGGTGGTTTATCTGAGCAGTGATAGTCCCCATACGTTGACGGAGTTGAAGCCGTTCAGTACGTATATTGTTGGCGGGTTGGTGGATAAGAACCGGCACAAGGGGATTTGTTATAAGCAGGCTGTGGAGAAGGGGATCAAGACGGCTAAGTTGCCTATTGGGGATTATATCCAGATGGCGTCCAGACAGGTGCTGGCTACGAATCATGTCGTGGAGATCATGCTCAAGTGGTTGGAACTGGGTGATTGGGGCAAGGCGTTCTTGGCTGTTATTCCGCAGCGGAAGGGTGGGAAGTTAAAGGAGTCGGGGGCTGAGGCGGAAGGGTCTCAGCACGAGGAGGATAATGCAGAGGAGGAGGAAGAGGAGGCGTTGGAGCAGGCTCAGGAGGTTACTGATGAGGCGGTTGAGGAGGCCCAGCAGGCTGCAGAGGAGCCTGATCAGGCTATGGCAGAGGCATCTGCGGAGAGCAAGTGAGGGGCTTGCTGTTGAACATAGTGTATATATGCAGCGGTATACGCTGCCCTGAGCTGTCTACTCGATAAGTAGCTGGCTAATCTACATTTCTTCCAATGACTAGCAGGAAGTGATGCTTCATACATTCTAGATTTCTACTTTTGTAAGTGGTGGAGGGAGATGACATAATTACACCGCCACACGTGCTGCGCCACATGGTTGCCACCGAGCGATGGATGACGGCAACCAAAACAACAACAACTTCGCCGTTCCATCTTTTTTTCGTTTCTTCCTTCCAGAAGCTCCACAGAGACTCGCCTGCTCTTTGCTCTGTTTGCTGTCTGGGCCCCTGGCCTTCTTCACTCTGCCCCCAGACCCAAGGCTCATCCTTTCCTGTTTACTTTCCCGTCCCCTCTGTTGTCTGGTGACCTGCCTCAATCCCTGTCCCTAGCAACCCACCTTATCTCAAAGTTCAGTAAACAAGGTTGCTGTTGCTGAGCAGCAAAGCAGCTCCAGCCATGTTTGTGCTCCGCAACGGTAAGTCCCTTCCATTCCCGGATGTCTTTTCCTCGAGGGCAGCTCTGCCTTCACTTTGGCTTTGCTACCCCGCCATCTGCCCCTCCTCCCCTCATCCTCTTCCCCTGCTTCCTCTCATCCTACCTTCCATCACTTATTGGTCCCCTCTCATACTGACGTATCCTCTCGGGACTTGTGCAGTGAGCAAGTACCTCTTCGGAGACTCTTCCAAGGAATCTATTATCGAGATCCCTCAGGGACAACTCTACCTCGTTCGCCCTCTGTCGCCCAAGGGCTACTCGGAGCTCATCTTCAAGGACGCCGCCGCCTCCATCAGACGCACCGGTCAGGATTTTCAGTACCAGCTTGTTATCCAGCGCGCCTACGAGGAAGGCGAGGAGGAGCTCGGGGAAGAGGACGACGAACAAGGCGGCAGTGACAGCCTCGACAAGGACGAAAAGGTCTTCCTGCTCGATCAGGCGTTGCACTTCCGCTCCGAGGTGCGCGACGGAGGAGCAAAGATCTTGGCCTGGAGAGACCTGAGTGGCGACGTTGGCGACCTCTTCGAGTTTGTCTGCGACCCCTCCGTACCTTCGGATAAGGTTTCCACCTTCGAGCTAGCCGCTCTGCAGTGCCAGTACGAGCGCGCATACCGCCGGAGCTCCCAGAACGTGAGCCGCGAAGATCTGCAAGAGTTCTCTTTCCAGGAGGAGAGGCCTATCCCGTCTGCAAGCCCTATCTCTTCTTCAGCACGGTCTCCTGCTCGGTCGCTGACATCTGGAGAGTCGACCGCCGCCATGGTGAAGGACGTCGAATACTCGCGGTCCAAGGGACAAATCAAGCCCGCAGCCTCGGAGGAAGCCACAGTTGCTCCCCCTTCTGCAGCACAGCCTGAAGCTAGAGAGGTCCTCGCCCAGGAGAAGGCCGAGCTGCACCTGTTCGATTTTGTGAGCGGAACGTTCGTTTTGCAGGCGGCTAGCGTGACTGCAACGGTTTCTGAGGTTGGTGACTGGACTTACTGGCTACAGATCAGCGGAGAAGACAAGGAGTGGCTTGGACAGGCTGTCGTTGCGGACATCAACCCCGTTTTCAATTTCGAATATTTGTCTTTTATCTTCAATGCCTACGGTGAAGATGGTTCGGCTTACTCCTGGCTCTTGCGCTTCAAGGACCAGGAGACTGAGGAGAAGTTCCAGGAGGGTCTCATGCAGGCTCTGTGGGAACAGCTGAATGAGATGAAGTGGACGAAGGTCAAGGAACAAGAACGGGAGTACGTGCTGGATGCCTTCCAGGATCTCACAATGGAGGATGCCGAGGAACGCGAAGCCGAGGCTGAAGAGGAGGAAGAAGAGGAGAGTGAGGAGGAAGACCACTACGACGGTCAACGCAGCGAACACTACGATTCTGACGAGGAGCAAGATGATGTCGTTACGCGGGATGACGATGGAAACGTCAACTCTCAACTTGCTGTCGGTTACAAGCATGACCGCTCCTTTGTCGTCCGTGGCTCCAAGATTGGCGTCTTCAAACACACTCCCGACAACAATCTCGAGTTCTCTACCAACATCTCCAAGGTTGAGACCCCCAGGGGCAAGCTCTTCAGCCCCAAGAAGGTCATGTTGCACGCCGAAGACACCAACATGATCCTCCAGAACGGTGACGATCCGAACTCGCTTTACCGGATGGACCTGGAGTATGGTAAGATTGTGGATGAGTGGAAGGTCCACGATGACATTCCGGTCACTACCTTTGCTCCTGAGACTGTGAGTAACCTCTTTTTCTAGTCTTATGTGAAATATCTGCTGACTTGCCTAGAAATTCTCCCAAATGACCGCTGCACAGACCTTCGTTGGTGCTTCTAAGAATGCCCTCTACCGCATCGACCCTCGTGTCGACGGAAACAAGTTGGTGGACACCGACCTGAAGCAGTATGCCAGCAAGAACGACTTCTCTTCGGTGGCTACCACTGAGAAGGGATACCTTGCTGTGGCTTCCAACAAGGGTGACATCAGGATGTTTGACCGTCTTGGAATCAACGCCAAAACCCATATTCCCGCTCTGGGAGAGCCGATCATCGGTCTGGACGTGTCCGCGGACGGTCGCTGGGTACTCGCAACCTGCCGGACATACCTCCTCCTCATCGACTCGCTGCAGAAGGAGGGCAAGAACGAGGGCAAGCTTGGCTTCGAGCGCTCCTTTGCCAAGGACTCTAAGCCGCAGCCTCGTCGTCTGGGTCTGCAGCCTGCCCATGTGGCCCAGTTCCAGCACGAGACGAAGAAGCCTATCAGCTTCACCCAGGCGCGTTTCAACACCGGTGTCGACAGCCAGGAGACATCGATTGTCACTGCCACTGGTCCTTTCATCATTACCTGGAGCTTGAAGAAGGTCGTTGCCGGACGCAAGGACCCCTACACCATCAAGCGTTACGGCGAGGACGTCATGGCGGACAACTTCCGATTCGGCTCGGACAAGAACGTCATTGTGGCCCTGCCCAACGAAGTCAACATGGTTGCCAAGAGAAGTTTGATGAAGCCCACTCGCGAGAGTATCGCCGGACCCCCCGTCACTCCCCGTCGCCGAACCCAATGGGGCAGCCGGTTAGGCAGGGACGAGATTGTCAACTCGCCTTACTGATGAGTGGCTTTTCATGTTCTTTTGCGCCGCTGCATACCCTCCTGATGTTTCTGTTTCTCATACTTTTTCTATTTTCTTCTTCCACACTGATATTTTGTGAAACGGTTTAATGTCTTTTCACGGTGATATGAACGGATGGCGAACGGTTGCACTGCGGAATTCAGCATTGATATTTGTACCCTTATTAGTAGCTGATAATATGACTACGAATTATGACTGACGTTGCATGATGGTTAATGGATGACATTCTGGGCCGATGGCCATGTAGTATATAGTTGCGCTTCTCGTCGACAGGTATCCCGTACCTGTTGCGGCGCTGCCTCAATCCCCTAGTAGCTAGCTCAACGTAGGCAAATCAAGCCAGCAATTGCACATCCAGTCCCAAAACACCACCACCATCCAACCAACCCATGATTATGGACCATTCTGCCAGCAGATGATAGTCACGCATCCCACTCACTCAATCCATTACAGCCAAATTAACATTGGCAATATAGCAAGCAGTACTTCCCCACTCAAGACCCAACATACCACACCTCCACATCAATAATATCAAACTTGACGCCCTCATCGGAGAGCGGCTCATTCCCGAAAGTCTGGCACGACGCACTAACACCCTTTTCGAGACTCGAGTCAACCCATAAACCATAATGTCCGTCACTACACCCATTAGCATCATCATCACCATCATCATAAGACACAGCACAAGAGAAAGAAAAGGAATCAACATACCCCCCACCCAAACTCAAAAACCCCGTCTCACAAAACATCATGTAATCATTAACCCCGGAATACGGAAACGCCTTGAAGCGAATTTGCTCAGGCGTGACAGTCCCACTCGTTCTTCCACTACTTGCACCACCATTTCCAGCAGCTCCAGAGGCAGAAGTAGGAGAAAGCCACTTCTCCCCGTCCCCCCGACGCAGCGTCGTCGACCGTCCCGCATTCGTTGTGTCCGCGCTCGGAGGCAACGGTAACCCGGCTTTCTCGAGCACTTCGGCCTGTACCCCACTTCCTTCTTCACCAGCGGTATCCCCATTAGTGAAATTGCTCAACATAGCCGTAGCAGGAGGTAACACGCTCGCCCTCCAGAGGAAACACTCCCCGGTGCCGTAGTAATGCGAGTCCGGGTGCGGGGGGTCAGTCATGTAGGCGCCGAAGACGGCGTTCGAGGAGGGGGACGCATCCCTGATGACGAGGACGTAGCCGGCGCGGGGGCTGCGGGTCGAGGCGATGTCGCGGCAGTTGTCGTATAAGGTGGAGAGGGAGGCGCCGTCGCGGTCGAGACTGTAGGCTAGGTGCCAGGTGTTGCAGAGTTGGAGGCGCGGGGGGACTAGAAGGCGGATTTCTTCGGCGAGGGAGCGGGTGAGGAGCGGAGAGGGGTCGGAGAGCGTGAGGGGGGTTAGAGGGGGAGGTTGGAAGGGGGAGGCGGTGCGGATGGGGGTGAAGACGGGGTTGGAGGGGTCATTGGTGGTGGTTTTGCGGCGCATGTTGTTGGTGGTGTTGGTGGAGGGGGGGTCGGTGAGGCGGCGATAGAGACCGGAGACGACGTGGGTTACTGGGTAGGAGAAGTAGGAGGCGGCGGATTGTTGGATGGAGGAGGGGGTAGTTGCGTTGGTGCTGGTGCTGCTGGTTGTGGGGGGTGGTCGAGATCCAGATCTCGAGCTGGAGGAGGACGACATGCGTGCTGCTGCTGCTGCTGCTGCTGCTGTGCGGGCGATGACGTGGGTTTTTGGTTTGGGGGATTGATTAGTTAGGATTGGAAGGAAGGGGGTAGATTAATAATGGGGATAGGGGGGAGATCATGCAATTGAGATGGATGAGAGGGGAGGAGAGGATGATGTGGTGGAGAGGTAGAGGGAGATAAGACGATGGGACGGGGAGATGCAGAAGGGAGGAGATTAATTAATTGATTAATTTAATGTTCGTCACGCTTTGCGGATCGGCGGGAGAGCTTCTATACGGAGGTTTCCTCCTGCCTACTTTTGGTAATTAGTCGTGCTTGTGCATGGCACGGCACATGCCAATTATTATAATAATTTTGCTGTCAAAAATACGATTGGTGAATCAACAATTTACAAACTATCTGCTAGTTACTGATCTACTGTGTCCCAACTTCTGCCACACCTGCTCGACAAATGCTGTCAGGTCGGCCTTCAGCTCGCGTGGACGCTCCAATGCGGCAAAGTGTCCTCCCTGTCGATCAATGTCAGAGTTTCAACGCACGAATTTATACTTGGGGTAACCTACCTCTGCATGATCCCGGAAGAATACTAGATTTCCCGTTGTAGCAATCCAGCTCCGAGGTACAGGACAAAGGTCCTTGGGGAAGTAGGAGAACCCAAACGGCTTGTGAATATATAATTCCTTCTGCAGCATCGTCGCTCCATTGGGAGCGGAGGCAGTTGGGGTAGTCTACACTGTCAGCAAAACAAATACCAATAGTACTACTGTCACTTCAGGTGTCATTCTTCACACATACCTCGCGGTAGGTATGAATTGCCCGCGGAAAACTTTCCGTCAGCCAATACAGGCTCACCATCTCGAGGATAGTCTCAGAAGGGAGGGGTTTATCCACCCATTGGAGATATTTCTCACCAATCCTGGATGCAGTCAGCCAGAAACTTTAACATATATTTGTCCGAAAAAAGCAAACCCACCATGCAAGTAATGCGATCGGACTGCTGGACAGCACATGGCCAATAGTACTGGGTCGAGTACTGTGCTCCATGGCATAAGCTAGGCCATCGGTCATGAACTTCTCCATTCGCGCGATTCCCTCCTTCTCCGCTGCGGACAAGCTCTCAATTGACGGGCCGTCAGGGGGAGCCCTCATTGCGCACAGGTTCACTATACTGTTAGTGTCTTGTAAACATATATATGGGCTGTCACTTACAATGAACCGCTGGTGGAAGTTAGCATGGCAGCATATTCGATGGCGAAGCAGCACTAACCTTTGCAGGCGTCGAAACTCACGCCCAATAGTCGACCAACAAAGCTACCAATATCACCACCTTGAATGATATAACCACTTCCGAACCCGAGGTCCTTCATCAACTGGTCTACGACCCGGGCGTTGTCCATCAAGCCGAAGTTCTTGTCCAGTGGGGGACCAGATGAAAAAGTATACCCAGGAAGGGACGGAACAATCAGATGGAATGGCAGAGTCTCAGGGGTGTACTCCTCCCGGAATAGCTGCAGGATTGGGTAGAACTCAACGAAGCTGCCTGTAGACTCATTAGACCTGTTGAACATACCGTAAGCGAGGCAAAGTATATACTTACCGGGCCAACCATGAAGCAATGCGATAGGCACAGCATCCTCCCTCTGGGAAAATAGAGCAGCAAAGTGAATCGTGAGACCCTCGATCTCCGTAGTAAACTGAGGGAAAGAGTTCAGTCGAGCTTCAAATGGTCGCCTAAATTAGCCTGTCAGCATTGCACATCGATGGACCAGCTAAATAACCGAACCAGTCAAACTCCGAGAGCCATTTCTCCCGCATAGTTGTCAGCCATTCGGAAGTGATGCCAAACCGGCCATCCGACTGCAAACTCTCATAGGTGGGAGGAGCAATCCTGGACAGTCGAATGAGGGTTTTCAGGTCGTCCAACTGTTCATCCGGGATGGAGACAGTGAAGGGATTAGGCGAAATGCTCGCCGACGAGGGAAACTTGGCGAACGGAGCGGACATGATGAGTTGAAGCCAAGTGGATGTATGAATAGAAGACATGGAGATGAAAGAGAGAAGTGGTGAGAAATGAGGGGTTGCCCAGAAAATGTATTGAATGATAAGCAATATTAGATGATGGGCGGGGTCACGGCTGGTCCGAGGCTCACCTTCACTAGTAATTATTGCTCCTCCAGTGAGCATCACGCAGATACGACAGCGCAAAGATTGGATAGACCTATCATGCTTATAAGCATTTCTGCAAGCCCTCTTGGCATTGCACCAATAGCATCTGTCATTATTAGAGTCAGCATATACCACCTCTTACCCCGATGCGGATGCGTGCAGCTATCACTCATTTAAGTAGCTTAGTTCTTCCGTCCTCTATTTGTTCGAGACTATGATTTTCCACGAAAGGTTTGGGGAATAAGAACTACCTAGAAGTATTTCGGAATCCAAGTAATTTTAACGAGGCCAGCAGATCGACATGCATGTATACGGCCATCATCATGCGTAGGTTGTGAAGGCATTGCGGCCGATTGAATTACTCTGGAGGCTACTACTGCAGTATTTGTCACAGGTCTAACTAAATTGATTGGAGATTATTATCTAGACAAGTTACTTCCATTTGTGTCCGGAATCCCTTAGAACAGAACAAACACGGGCAGTATATACTGAAGTATCAAGACACCCTTGGATACCTCCGCGTGGTAATGAATATGGTAGCTAAGAAAATGAAGACACTAATAAACATCCTTCCTGTCATAATAAACCCTTCCAACCCTACTATCTACATAAAATTCTCTCGTCCTCTCCTCACAAAACTCCCAAAACTCACACGCCCTCCCCGTCCCACCCTCCTCCTTACTCTTCATCGCATCCAACAACCCCGGCGCCACAGCATCATGAATCCTCCCCCAAGGAACAACATATGCACCATTATTCTCCAGCCCCAAATCCCCCGATATTCCTGCATACAACACCGTATGAGCCGCCAAAGCCGGACTATGCAGCAGCGGCCAAGAGAGAATCTTCATCCAGCGCGCATTCCTCAGAAGATTCGTATTAGCTGCGCCCGGATTCTGCGCTACGCTGACGATGCCCTTCTCGCCGTACCGACGGGCCATTTCCGTAGCCAAAAACCAGTTGCCCAGCTTGGAGGTGACATAGTTTCGCACAGCGTCTTTCGGTGGGTTGGTTAGCTCCGACATGATGATGCCTTCGGGCGGAGCGGAGAGCTCGGCGACTTGACTGCTTGTCCAGATGACGCGGACGGAGCCGGGGGTGGTGAGTCCAGAGTCAGATGAAGCTGCGGCTTCGAGGAGGGGGGTTAAGAGCTGAGTGAGGAGGAAAGGGCCTAGACAGTTTGTTGCGAGTTGGAGCTCGATGCCTTGTTTCGAGACGCTGCCTAGCGGAGGTTGGGACACGCCGGCATTGTTAAAGAGGAGATCGAGTTTGGATTCTTTGCTGATAAAGCTAGAGGCGGTAGCCTTGATGGTAGAGAGGTCGTCTAGATGGAGTTCGAGAAAATGTAGCTCGCCCGGGCTAGACTTGCTAGCCTCAGGGACGGACTTCTGGATAGCCTGGATGGCCGCCTGAGCAGCGGACTCTGATCGTCCTGCTATATAGACTTTGGCGCCTTTGCGGTAGAGGACCTTGGCTACTTCAAAGCCGATGCCTGATGCGCCGCCGGTGATGAGCACCACTTTGCCCGATTGTTTGGGGAGGTCATCGGGGGTGAAGGTTGGGCGGGGAGGGAAGAATTGAGAGAATTGGGCTCCCATTGTGGATGTGGATAGTAGTTGGTGGCGTGAGATGGCGGTTCAGTCACATATTTATGTGCTGGGTTCGTGGGAGAGAACCCTGCAGGGGATGGTTAGTCCCGTCAATCGTTATACATGTTTAGACGAGCGGACCAACCGGCGCTACTATAGAACTGACCGGCTCGGTTGTTAGCGTTGACGCTCAGCTAGCTCAGCCTGCTGGGATTTCGCTTTGTTTCCATTTTTGTGGTTGGCATGTTTTATGTAGATCATTACTTATTGCACGAATGGTAGGAAAACAACGATGGACTGGTGGTCGAGTCTTGCTGGGGAGGAGGTTGTCCTAATGTTGTTCCAGCCTTGCGAAATGCATCCAGTCCTGGCCAGCACATACTCACGGGCTGCCATTGCCTTGCAAGATTTAGTTACCGCAAGATCGACCACTAATAAGGCCTCAAGTACATCCCCAATTTAACCAGGCTATGAGTTCCGTAAGATCTCCGCTGCGATATCAATCGGCAGCACTCCCGATGCAGTCCACAACGCTACGGCAACCCTCCCGACGCATCGGCATCTGTGCCTACAGCAGCATCATCCCAGTAGTATTTAGACACACTCATACTCCGCATAATCCTATATCCAAAAAACCTAATACTCTGAAATAATCTTCCCTCAATTTGTTCCTACCTCATAACATCCTCCATCTACGAATCCTTAAGAAAAAAAAATAAAAAAAGCACCATGCAACACCTCCCCAACCCCACCATTCAAACCCTCCTCCTAAACCTCACACGTCCTGAAATCCACCACTTCCTCCACACCATCTCCTCCACCCTCATCTCCTTCTCCACGACCCCCGAACGACAACACCAACCCCCAACAAGCACCATAACCCGTCCCGACGGACAACGCACACTCTTCCGCCCCTTCACCTCCCCAGACAGCATCGGCGCCAAGCTCGTCGTCGAGCCAGCTCCCAACTCCACCACCGGAAAACGCGAGCACCCAATTCAAGGCCTCCTAATCATACTAGACCCGCTGGGCAATCCCACGGGAATATTATCCGCGGAGGAAATAACCGGCTACCGGACGTCGATGAGCGCTATGATTCCGTTCTCTTGGCGGAAGCATGTATTGAATATCGTGATATTTGGTGCTGGGATGCAGGCATTGTGGCATACGAGGTTGATATTGGGGTTGAGAGGGGAGGAGGTGCGGTGTATTACGTTTGTGGGTTCTTCGAGGGGACGGGTGGAGGAGTTGGTTGGGAGGGTAAAGGGGGAGATGGGGGGGAGGTGGGGGTCAGAGGAGTGTAAGTTTCAGTTTGTGAGTACTGATGGGAGTGATGGTGAGGTTGAGAGGTGTTTGAGGGAGGCGGATTGTGTGTTTTGTACGACGCCCTCGCAGAAGATGCTTTTTCCGGCGGCGTGGGTGATTGAGAGGAGTGAGACAGGGAGGAAGCCGTTGGTTTCGGCGATTGGGTCTTGGTTGCCGGAGATGATTGAGTTGGATCCCGAGTTACTTAGGGGGGTGGTATGTGGTGAGGAGGGGGTTAATCCGTGGACTGGGGAGAGGGGGAGGGGGATGGTGTTGGTGGATGATAGGGAGTATGCGATGCATGGCTGTGGGGAGGTTGTGCAAAGTGGGTTGGCCGGGGAGGATTTGGCGGAGATTGGGGAAGTACTTGCTGTGAAGAGTGGAAGGATTCAGGTATCTGGTGATGAGGATGTTCGGCGTGTGGAGGGGCTTATGGAGGAGGGGTTGGTTGTTTATAAGAGTGTCGGCGTGGGTCTTACTGATTTGACGGCTGGGAGGGAGGTTTTGAGACTATATCAGGAGAAGCAGGGTAATTTGTGAGAAGGTAGTCGATTATCATTTATGATGGGAACAATGCCACTGAAATGTTCAGCTGCAGAACGTATATGCTAGAACTACCAAATAGCATGGTTGTCCATCATCGTCGATACCCATTCTGCGTCAAACAATTCGATCGAGTTCGCCATGGCCATCATCTCAGAAGATGTCAACGATGGCTCAAATGCACATCCAGCCGCCGGTGTGGTATCACCACCAAGGAATGGATCAGAACAAGAGTTTCCGTCAATAGGTGTTGCAGTATGAGCTTCGTGCGAAGGAAAGGGCTGTTTTGTGTTAAAGTGTAGAGGAACTTCAGAATAGGATTGCCCATTCTGGTCCTGGCGTGGCATGAGCAAATTCAGTTTCTCGTCTAGCTGCTGTATTTCCGAATACCGTAACCGTGCTATCTGATTCCCAGCCTCGACCATGTCATTAAAGATTACGTCCGCTGTAGCGTGCCACCACATATCGTTGGCTCCCAGTTGACGGTCAATTGCCGGAGCCATTGAAAGCACCACCGTGGAGATGAAGAGAGATTCCAGATCAAAAGTGAGGAAGGTTTCTATTCGCTCTGTTAGTCCCATAACAATCTCGGACGAACATGTTCTTTACCTAGAAGGCCCTGAGACGCTAGACCGTGCAGAATTCTTATACTGTGCAGCGCAGAGTCTAAGCACATCTTGATCAGATTCCTAACATGCTGAGATTTTTGGAGGGATTGAACACATGTTTCCGCAGACTCAAGTCGGATTTTGAGAAAGCAGAACAACAAAGGTCTGACAGCCACTATTACGCACTAATCGAGTCAATATGAGAAGAATTGCTAGGAAGATAGTCTCACCTGTTGGTAAAATAGGTGCAAATATGCTGCTACTCGAGAGAGACCGCTGTCTTTCGCTTCTAAATGTAGAGGGAATGACTTGTTCAGTTCATCTGCCAGTCCTGCTAGGTTGGACAATGCTCCTTTGATGTTCAATAGAAAGGTTCGGTTAAGTCTGCCATCAGTGGCATATACTGCTGTATCTTTTTGAGCAAGGTTATCAAAGGTGTATAGGAATGGGAACCTACTGGCGTTGATATCAGCTATGCTCCGGCATAACTTTATGTGCATGTCTAAGCTTTTGATATTTTCAGAGCCCTCAGGGGAGGGCAACTTGGCTTGAATGAAGCGGTCGTCGACAGACTGGGGAAGCCCCTGAATAGATGTCATGTGCCTGTCCAGAATATAGACAGTCCACCAAATCTTCCGGCACCTCTCCACATTATCCCGTCCCAGCTCGGTGACGGACATGAAGGTGTGCATGCCATGAGCCATGGCCATTCTCATCGCTTGGCCCACCTGTATCCAATCAGCTAACGACTTCGCAAATATCTAATGAGGAGGCTGACATAGTTATGAGAGGCAGTTCGACAGTCGAGGGCTTGGTAGAAAATGGCAATACAGCATAGGATCTCGGTCGATACCATCGGTGAGGAGTAAAGGAGGGTGTGATCCGGTAGAATTTGCAAAGCTTTGACAAAGAGGCTGATACCAGGGGGCTTTCCTTTAAGGTACTTCACATGTGTGAACATCTTTCCGAAAGCCAGAATGATAAGAAAGTGGATGTACCATAGGCCCCTTGGTCTTGTCTGCTCATCTTCCGAGTAGAAGCTATAGAGTGATTCCATAAAGTCACTGTCATCAAACAAGTGGTATAACTGCCCGCAGCGAAACCTGACGGCATTGATCAGGAATATGGCATGGTCAAGAGTTGGAATGACAGGGCTTTCTGGACTCGGATCAGTTCGAGATCCGTCCCAGCCTAGGTCATATGAAGTCCCCTCGAACACCAGCGCCTCTGTTGGCAAGGATTCTTTGTGGACATGTTCATGAACCATACTGAGTACGCGTCGAGCGAAGGACCAATTAGAGGATGTCCCTAGATAATCTAAAAGTTGTTAGACATTTCTCCAGGCCATAAAGTGTTATTAACGTACAAGTTCTTCCATTGCCCGGTGACATAAAGGCAGGTGGCCCGGAGACTAGTGGATTCACCAATCCAGATTCAGGATTTTCTCCGTCTGGGGGAGTATAATAGTTATCCGGTGTGTTCTCGGGAGGACGTTCACGAGAAGCCGAGCCTGAAAATGTTAGCATTGACTAGGTGGCCAGACAGTGAGAACCAACGAGTACTATTGTCGGGAGCCGATGCTATAGTGTGAAGGTCACTTGTATGCTTCTCCAACTGTGCTGCTCTCTGCTTCAATTCAGCAATATGCCTATGTAGATCTCAACTGTGAGTCGACGGTATAAATGGTTAGGCCCGGGATGGCAGACCTCCGTGTCACTAGAACCTTCTGGCTCATGTCGTCGAAAATGCAAGAGAAATTTCGGTTGCTACAGCTAAAGCATGGCTGTGTTCCAGAACACTTGATCTTTTGTCTTCGACATCGTACGCACCTTTTCAGACAACCATTAGCGATAGTAGATAGTTCAACACTTGAATGCCTCTTACACCTTAGCTGATCTCTTTCTGGCTTGTGCGACGCCTGCCACTGAAGTCTTTCTCATCTTGGGTAAAGCGTCCAAAGGGTGATTCAGGAGAATGTTCCAAGTATGACGGCGCAGTAGGGAAATCCAGTAGAAACATGCGATAGAACAACTTAGAGTGAGGTTAAGAAGCGAAGTTCAGCAGAGGGTTTCGGAATAGAAAAAGATGTATTGAGTAGAGACAAGATAGATGAAACCACAGATGAGAAAACGCTATTCCATGAGAAGAAATTGCAATTTGAGAAGAAATTCTGATAAGAAAGATACTATAATGTAAGAAAGACTGATGTGAGAAGAGACAGATGCTTATCAAAAGATACCCCCACAAAGAGGCGGGGAAATATTCCCCACTCATCGGCGTATTTCCGTAAAGTCTTGCACTAAGCATAGTGAGATGCCTTTCATGACTCTACAATTATCTTCTATGATTCTCGTATTATGATGTCAAGAATATCTCTGGACTATTGATTCGAAATTGTTCCCTTATAAATCAATTGAAAAGCATTGAGCATAGTGGCCAAATTCCCGCCACTTCCATCTAAACCACAACTAACCATAGATGAGTGAATTATTTTGATTGCGAGAATTGGCCATGAAGGTTTCACAATCGCAACAGCTTGTCGGGAACGTTGCCGATACATATTGTGAGATATCGCTTAGGCTCCCGAAAGACTAGTAATCCACTTCCCCGCATGCACTCTATCACCGAATGGCCGTACTATGTTCCATCCACGTCAGGAACGCATGGCAAGTAACCTGACGTATTACGAGAAGATGTCGCTGATCGGTTATGCTGCCGGCAACATGGTGCTGCAATATCTTTCCTGTCTGACCGGTATGCAGAGTATCAGTAGCATGGACATGCTCGAGCGGGTGCTGAAAGCGATAAATAGCCCACGAGCTCTGGCTAATCCTACGAACCGACATTCATTCGAAACCTACTTCTCTTGAGTATTATCCACCGAGAAAATGAGATCCGCCAGATCCATCAACGTCGTGGGCTGCCACTGTGCCGGCGAAGTATGCGATGTGATCGTCGGGGGTGTTTTAAATCCCTCGGACTGCAGCACCATGTACGAGAAGCTCGTTCACTTTCGCGACAAAGAAGACCATATACGCCAGCTTCTCATGCAAGAGCCTCGGGGACGACCGGCTATGTGTGTGAATCTTGTCTTGCCCCCTTGCAACCCAAAGGCCGACGCTGGGTTTTTGATCATGGAGACTGAGGAGTACCCTGCCATGTCTGGAGGAAACACCATTGCCACTACGACTGTTCTTCTGGAGACAGGCATGGTGCCCATGACTGAGCCGATCACCAAGATAGTCTTGGAAACTCCGGCAGGCCTAGTACCTGTCACCGCGGACTGCGAGGGTGGCAAGTGCAAGGCGGTCGCGTTTGATAACGTCCCTTCGTTTGTTTTCGCCCTGAATTACAAGGTCGATGTCCCTGGACTGGGTACTGTCTCGGTCGATATTGCATGGGGAGGAATGATCTACGGTATTGTCGACGCGACTTCACTTGGGATTAGTATCAACAACCAAAACGGGCCGAAGTTGATTGAATACGGAGAGCGAATCAAAGATGCTCTCCAGAAGGCCCCATTTGTTCCCGTCCATCCAGAGAACCCCAGCATAAGAGGCGTTAGTATCCTTGAATTTACAGAGCCGCTTCAGCGGGATACTATGACGGCTGTCAATACCGTTGTGGTTTCTCCCGGGCGGTTCGATCGGTGCCCGTGTGGCACAGGAAGCTGCGCAAGAATGGCAGTACTCCATGCTCGGGGTCAGCTCGCAGTAGGCGAGAGGTTCCAACATCATAGCATCATTGGAAGCACTTTCGAGTGCCACATCCGCGGGACGCAGAAATTGCGGGACTATGACGCTGTCTTGCCGACGGTGAAAGGAAGTGCTTGGATCAATTCGTTCAAGCAAATGGTGTTGGATCCCACTGATCCTTGGCCGGTGGGCTTTCGAGTTGGCGATCAATGGCATATGGCAGAGTAACAGCATGAATTTACGGTTTGGGATGTAGCAGACAATCCCAGATCAAGTTATGCCCATAGTTATGTACATATACTGACTAAGCATAGCGGGATGTGTTCCCAAAGCAGCATAAAACCCAAAACGGCAATGCAATTCATCCCACTTGAACATTTAATATGATAAAATACTAATATAGTATCAACTACTACAACCATGAATCAACACCCCTCCTCAGATACCACCATCCTTCTGGACCAGCCCCCAAGCTGCCTCCAATTCCACCCCTCCTCCCCGAACCACTTCCTCGTAGGCACCTACCTGCTCTCAGAACACAAGGAAGATGACTCTGCACCAATCCAACAAACCAAAACCGGCAGTCTCCAATTATGGCACTTAGATCCTGCCACAAACCAACTGTACCCTCCCCTTATACTATCTAAATACATAAGAGGTGTGTGAAACTAACATGTAATGCAGAACCCTCCGCCACAAACACCCACTCCCATACGCAGTCTTCGACCTGCACTTTCACCCCACTGACCCAACTCTCGCTGCCATTGCAACCAGCGCAGCATCAGTGGTATTTTTCCGCATCAACCCCGACATTGATGCCGGAGAGGACGTCAGTTCCTGTATTAAGGAGATCCACTCCCACCAAGTCCACGAAGACCCCTCCATCCCAGCACTCTATCTAGCCTGGTTACCAGCCGGATGGCATTCCACCACCACTTCCCCCTCCCCTACTGGACTTGAAACAGAATACGGCTTCGCCGTAACCTTCTCCGACGGCCTAACCACCATCTTCAACACCAATCTAACATCCCTTCCCAATTCCTTCTCCATAGCAGAGGAATCATCCTACCCCGCCACCCAGCAAATAGAAGTCTGGTTCGTAGCAGCAGCTACATACCCCCCACCTCAGTCCGATGGTGGTGATAAGATGCGCTATATCTTTACAGGGAGTGACTTTGGCTCGTTGCATACTCGCTATCTTCCTGCGCCTTCCAGCAACACCAACTCAGACGATGATGATGAAGCTGAGGCTAGCACGCCCATCCTCTCCCACGACGACCGCGCCCGCCACCACACTGCAGGAGTGACTGCCATCCTGCCCCTCCCTGTGCCCATGACTGATGGCGCGCCGTGGCTTCTAACGGGAAGTTATGATGAGTCGTTGCGGGTATATCATGCTTCTCGGCGGGGGGAGGTACTTGGGGAGATTGGGCTCGGGGGTGGGGTTTGGAGGTTGCAGATTCTTTCTTCTGAGTCTCGTACTTTGGATGGTGAGGAGGGGGGTAGGGAGTGGGAGTTCCTGGTGTTGGCGAGTTGTATGCATGCTGGGACGAGGGTGGTTAAGGTGCGGGTTGTGGGTGGGGAGAGTGGGGAGTTGAAGGAGTGTGAGATGGATGTGCTGGCGGAGTTTACGGAGCATGAGAGTATGAATTATGCGAGTGATGTGTGGAATTTTGGAGGGAAAGGAGGGGAGTTGGTGGTTGTGTCGAGTAGTTTCTATGATCGGAGGGTTTGTGTGTGGCGGGTTAATGTTTGAGTATACTTGCCTAGTCTACATAAGAGCTGGGAAGAGGGAGATGAAGTAGGTTTATGTTATGTTCGTAAAACGCTCGAGAGGTCATATGCAGAAGTGAACATCAACAACAGGTATACCAACGAAACACGCCCCGTCCCGAAACGAAACCCGAGAATAAAATGATTATAGATAAATCAGACGATCGTCTCCAGCTCGCGCGCATAGCCGATCGCATTCTCGATGATCGTGCCGCTGGCCACGAGGATATCCTTCTCGGACCGGGCAGCTGCCTCGGGCTCGACGGGGAAAAAGATGCGGCCGTCACGGAGGACCCAGCCGCGCTGCTGGGCGAACTCGATCACGGCGCCCTCCGAATCGAGGAAGAGGAGGTTCTTGGCGTTGGAGATGGGGAGGGACGGGTACGCCTTTTCGGAGCAGTCTGCGATTTCGCTGCGGATGGTACCGACCAGGACCTGCATCATCAGTATTAGCTAACCAAACCATAGACGAGAGAACGCGGCGCGCATATTATAGTCAGGCAATGGTATACTCACATTCGAGAACAGCGCAAAGTCCTCCGAGGGCACGCGCTCGGAGTTGGTCTCCCGCCACACCTTATCGTAGCTCCCCTCCATCAGATTCCTCTCCAGCTCAACCGGGTACTTGATGAACGGATCATCCTCAACGCTCTTGCCCTTCAGACTCGCCTCCTCGACCAGACCCTCCAGAACCGTGTGGAAGCTCGTGCTGTCGCCCATGCTCAACAGCAGCAGCAGATACAAGCCTGTGATCTTGCTGCGCTGGCTGTTTCGGATGTCCACGTGGCCGGCATTCGTGCTGTCCCGCTCCAGGTCGTAGAACGGCTGCAGCTGCTGGTAGTATCGTGTGAAGGTGGGTGCGTCGGTCTGTCGGATAGAGGCGATGGCTCCGAGCTCGAGAACCTCGCGGGCCTGGGCGACCAGCTCGGCGGGTGCTGACGGCGTGGGAATCAGGACATTCTGCAGGAGGAGGGCGCGCTTGCCGCGACTGAGGAGGTCGTTGACGGCTTCGAATTGTTGCCGGCCGAGGGCGCTGTGGAGCTCGGACACGATGACCTTGAGGTCGTTGGCCATTGTGGATTAGAATAGTAGAATATATCGGCTGTGTAGATATATGTGTACGCGGAGCAAGATAGGGAGGAATTAGGAATGATAGACTGGTTGGATTGGTGTGGTGGTGCAGTGGTTTCGAGATGGAAGTGCTGGTTGTGACGTTGGCAGCCGCAGCTTCCAGGAGCTTCTCCGAAGCTCATCACGTGACATCATCGGGCAAAACTACGGATCGAGCTTATCTTGTTTACATCGTTTGAACTCTTTTCTCTCTTGAGTTGCAAAGAGCCACTGGCTCTTCTGCTTACAAGCTGCATACTTTCAACTATGCTTCATCATATATTTTCGCATAAAAGGAACCCGCCTTTCTGCAGCTTTTGAAAGACGCCCTCCGCGTCGTCTTTGGCCGCCGCCTCCGCATGAGCCTAATATTCCAGGCTTCGTAGCTGCCAAGGAGTTCCTGAGAGCCACTCGCAAAGGTCATACACCCGAAATCCAAGCGTAGGCCCTTCTCTCTGGCCATTGACTGTAGCGTCTTGGACATACCTTCTACGGTCTTTTGGGCCGCGGCATGGTCACTACCGTCTTCAGGCATTCACAGGTCAAAACCCACCCTATTAATTGCGTGACGTCCCTTTGTCCTGTGGTTGAAGATCAGACATTATGGGAGAATTGAAAGCAACTTACAGCACTGTCGGACACTTTCAAGGCCCATGATATTTCTCCGCGATCTATACCAACCTGAACATCAGCCGTACCCATTGACTGAATGGTGTTATGCAAGACAGCGCCAGAAGGGCGGGTCTTGCCGACTTCGAGCCTCGTCTTATGGATGTCCTCATATAGCTCCTGGAGAAATCTTCGTAGTAATTTTGCAAATGGGACGTCTGTAATCCCGCATTTAGTTATCATTTTCGATTGAACTAATGCATATCGCCCCCGTGGGGTCTGTACTCACTTCTGGGAAGTTTGGGCGTGACCCACCTCATCCAGAGCTTGGGAAAATGACAGTAGCGTGCCGTTAGTGGATGGCAGCACTGTAGCCACCAGGGCTTTGAGGTTGTGGAACGGCCTAGAGGCCTTCGGTGGGTCGGCTTCGTGGTCCCTAAAGAACATGCCCACTGCGACAAATCCGTTGTTAAAGTTTGCAAATATTAAATCTCGATCAGAGGATGAGGTTTGTGGTCAAACCGTGTCACAATGCCTGTTTAGCATGTTAACGGATCATCCAAGTTATGTTCGGAAGATGCCATCAATGCCAAAGTCGGAGCCAACGCCCTTCAGGGCACGATAAAAATCAGGATCCTCCTTCGCGTTGGTGTTGCTGAGGGTGCCATAGGCTAGTAGAACTTGCAGGGATGAATTGCTGTCAATATCTAGTCCTCAACAAAGACAAAGACTGTAGGAATTTTACCTCAGAATTCTTCACGCCATCAGCACCAAATCCATGGAGAAAGGGCAAAGCTTCCATGCCCCATTTGTGTATGAGACAGTAACTTTGACAATTCAGTTCAAAAACAAGCCCTCCTGCTCCCTTCGCCCCATTTAGGCATCCCACAAAGCATCAAACATGTCGGCTGCACGAGGAAGATACAAATCTCCCAAAGGAAATCCGCCGATATCCAATCATACTGCTGATGTTGCAGTTGGTATATCCAAGCAGAGCTGATTGTTGGAAACGGACATCCATATCCATGGTTGGAACTTTCCATGTTAGGCTGCGCTGGCACCGGTATGAAAGTCATCAGATGCGGCTGACTACTCGGATCGCTTAACACGCCTGGATAAAAATTCAGTTCGCGACACAATGATATATGATAGGATTGGATGACTGGCTATTCTGATGTTATTACATGTGCCCGTGCACGGAAATAGACTTTCGACGCCAATTAGGCGTATAGATAACAGGCTGGATGGTACTTTCAACTGGTGGCCTGAGCACCTTGGCCGTACTTTGGTGCTTTGCTATGGAACACGTGCTATGGAACACGTCTTACATTGATCGATGATGTTTTGAACCGTTATCTTTCTCGCTCATTATTACGATACCTAAGAGACCGGAATTTCAGTGTAGTAGTGTGTCTTGACATCTTAATTGCGATCCTAGAATGTGACAGTGACTCACCCAAGGGCAATGTATAGTGTCTGGCATCGTGAGTTACTACGCATAGAAAGCCGAATCTGGCAGCCTAAGACGTTTTTCTATGGCCTTGGGCATTAGTATGCTAAAGATGGTTAATTAATGCTTGAATCCAAAGGAAATCATTCCTAAACGGGCAAGAGTATAAGCCCCTGTCTTTGTGCCCAAGCACGTGTTTTACTATATGCTTAACTCGGGTAGTAAACTTCCACACGCAGTATATACTGGACCGCTGAAACCAGTGGCTTGATACATGACGGTTCTTTTCACTCTTAACCCCAAGCTCCCCATTAAGGCCCTGCCTCACCTTCCTAGGTATTATTTAGACCCTCCCATCCCCCTCAAACGCCGTGCCGACTAGTTGTCAAGGAAACATGGTCGTCCAGTTCTGCGACGATTGTGGTAACCTTCTGGATGAATCATCCGATGACACTCTTAAATGTGGGATATGTGGAAAGACCGCTAAGAGTACACCACCCCAGCCTCCCTCCCTAAGTACCACAGGACTGACCAAACGCAATAGACATGGCAATACATCATGCGCAGGTATCCACATCGGAAAATTTCCCTTCAAGGCTCAGGAACAGACTAAAATCGAATACGCAAGAGGTGACTTATAAAATTATTGGGAAGGGTCCGTCCATTGACATGGCATGTGTCAAATGTCCTTCTAGGGAGGTGACCTATGCCCAGGTCCAGTTGCGGAGTGCAGATGAGGGAAGTACTATCTTCTATACCTGTGCTAAATGTGGACATAGGTGAGTAGGGGTCTCGCGTGAATGCGAAATGCTTGCTAATTCTGGCCCACCAGATGGCAGGAGGATAATTGAGGCGACATTGGAACACTTCTTCTGCCCGAGGATCAGAAGGTCATCATCGTCGGCTTATGACTCTGATTTCACGAGGATTTTACGAATGGCATGGGGCCTATGCTTTGTCCAAGCCAATCCCTGCATGGAGCTTTTACAGTCAGATCTAATATGGCACGAGACATTCATATCATTTCCAGATAACCGTACACTGCAGAATCACATAAACAGTCCTTTACATATAACATGCTCAAATAAGCAAACCAGCTCATTCCACGTTCAAACCCATAATCAGCAGCATCAGCATCAAGCCAAAATCTCCTTCTCATGCTCCTTCAGGAATGCATCCACGGAAGTAAGTCCCTCCGCCAACACTCCCAACTGCTCACGACAATTGCTCACTCCATCACCACCGGGCACCTCATCCGCCCATCTCGACGAAGCAGCACCAAGATGTCCCTCCTTGATCATCCCATCCACGACCTCATCATCCAAAAACTCCACCTTCACCTCTTCACCCACCACCTTCCCAATCTTCCCTGCCAGCTGCTCCACCGTCACCACCTCGACCGCCACATCAACAGCCTTGTTCGCAAACCTTTCAGGCTCCTTAACCGCCGCCGCAACCACAATCCCCACATCCCGAGCATCCACCAACGGCAGCTCCGTGCCGGGCCGATATGCCACGCGCAGGACCCGCTCTTCCTTGAACGCAGGGAACATGAAGTCCCGCACAGGCGGCAGGAGGTTCTGAAGGAAGTGGCCCGGTCGGACAATCGTCCAGCGCCCGCCCTCCTTTGCTTCCGCTACTTCACGAACACGATTCTCCAAGGCATGCTTGTTCAACCAGTACGCTTTCATCGGATGAGCACCGCTTTCCCATCCGGGGAATGACTCATGCTGGCCTGTCTTCAGCGCCGTACCAAGAATGATATGCGAGAGAGTGGATGACTCCTTCGCAGCGAGAATGATGTTCTCCATGCGCTGGAAATCAGCCTCGGGTTTGCCGGTTTGCACTTCGGTGAAGAACACGGCGTCCACGTTTTGTGTCGCATTGCGGAGAGATTCCAGGTCGTCGAGGTCGCCTGTGATGAGAGTCGCACCTTGTTCGGCGAGTTGGACTGCGGCGCTGCTGGCTGGGTTGCGCACGAAGGCGGAGACGGAGTGGCCTGCGGATAGGGAGTGTTGGACGACGCCGCGGCCTTGGTTGCCGGTGGCGCCGATGACGAGGATGGTTTTGGGGGACATTGTAGGTGGTTGTTTTGTGGAATTGTAGGTTGAGATGTGAATTGTGTTTGATAGGAATGTGGTTGGCAATGGGGTGGTGCAGAGAGAAGATTTATAGTCCTTGTGCTGCCTAAGCTGTTTGTTAGTGCTTACTGCGTGTATAGTAATTCTTAGATCTTACGACGGGTGAAGGATCTCTCACCGTAGTAAGTTGTTGTGTACAAGGCTGTACGGATGTCGGTAGGTAAGCTTAGATGTTTCAGAACGATTAGCTTATGCAGTATATTCTAGATTACTACTGCTGTGCCTAAGACACTGGACACAGGTAGCGGGTATCCTAACGCATCACGGATGTTGTCCTCAAGACGAACACCACTACCTCTAGCAAATTCTAATTATCCACTTTCAATCTCAAATATCATCCTTTAATTCCTACATTCATCGAGTTTCTTAGTTTGGTTACGAAACCTATTCGTCGCAATCATCTCAAACTAATCACCATTGGCATAACAATAGACAAAACATCAGCAGCACATAAAACAAGACCAGCCCGCTGCGTACTAAGCTGACAGCGCCATCGGCTCCAGACTCTGATACAGAGGCGTCCCCAGCCCAGTAACCGGGTCCCAACCCTTGGTGGCATTCCAGCTAGCATACGGGACAAGAGCCCCTCCATTTGATCCCTCACAACCCACTGATCCGCCGTCTACAATATCCGTGAATCCCTTCTGATCGAGCGAGTAGAGCCACGGGTTTAGGAACCCTAGGGTTGGTTTACCCTGCTTGAGACGTGCGGCGTTTAGTCGGGAGATGACTGCTGCGAAGACGGGGGCGGCGGCACTATAATATTATTAGCTCGTTCGATTCTAATGGTTTGATTATGTGTTTGGTGATGGTCTACTCACCTTGTTCCCGCAGTCTGTAACCATTGTCCATGGTCCCTAATAACATAGTTGCTAGCCTGAGCCGACACATCAGGAATGCCCCGTCCGTCTCGGTTATACAGTCCATCCCATTTGTCACCCAGACGCGCAAGATACGCTTCCACGCTAGCGTTCTGGTACGACGGACGAGCAAAGCGCTCGGAGAACCCACCTCCCGAAAAGTCCACAGCCCTTTCCGGCTCGACGCCCTCCGTCCCACCCACGGATGTCACGAACGGACACGACGCCGGGAAGATAGGCTGAAAGCGGGTCCTCTGGCTCCCATCGTTGGATACACAACCCCCTCCGACGCCCGAGTCTCCGCTACTGAAGATCACCGAGACCCCGCGCGCACCTAACTGGGCGAACAGATTGCACGTGGCTTCCGTGTATTCCTCCGGAAGGCTTTGCTCCTCCTCGCCGTAAGACGTGCTAAGTACTGCAGGGAGATCCTCATCCGGAAGACCCACCAGATAGTGGAGCTGTTCGAGATACGGCTCGTTGGTCGATCCGTCGGTACTCACCGTACCCGTGTCCGAGACGGACGGGGCACGTCCGGCCGTAGTGTAGAAGGTCGCATTAGCGTTGAATGCCATGGCAAGGGCGTATTGGATGTCGAGGCTGGCTTCTGTGCTTCCTTCTTGGGAGTTTTGGGGGTTTTGGCCTCCGTTAATGGAAACTACGGAGAAGTCGGCGTCTATGCTGTCTGGGGAGTATACTTCTAGGAACTCGTCGAGGTCGCTGTAGCGTGCGTATTGGTCGAGGTAGCCGGAAATGCCGAGAACGTTTCGCGAGTCGGGAGTTGCTTTGGTACTGGGTAGGCCGTAGAGCTGGCGGAGGCAAGCTGGCGTTACGCCTGTTAAGCAGTCTTCGCTTATTTCGTCGATGTTGATAGATACAGGCATGAGGCTCGGTAGGCTGGTTTGCGTCTTGGGCTGCCCGAAGCGTGTCGTTGGCTGGATCATTTGGAGAAATGCATCGACTTCCTCCGGGACTGAGTACTTGAGCGTCCTGATCTGGGTTGTGTTTGTCTCCAGGTGGTGGAAGTTGTAGAAATCTGTCTTCATCATTGACTGTGCTTGGGCCAACGGGACCGTGAAGGCGACCCAGTCCCCGCGATCTTCGATAGCATTTGATGGAACATGCTCGGACTCAAGCCAGGAGAAGATGGTCTTTAAAACCTGGTCGGATGGGCGCATAAAGGCTCTCACATCGTCGCGTTTCATATGCCGTCCATAGTCTCGGTGACCGGGTGTCGAGATATCAATGACTTTCTGCTCGAACTCCGCCTTGTAGTCGTGATGCATCGATAGCCAGAACTTCATCGGAGTGGATGGCGAGGGAGCTGCGCCTTTCGTCCATCCGTCGGGGATGCTGCTTAGTTGGTCTACCACGACATAATCAGGCGCTGTAGCTATACCCGTGTGTAGCAGGGAGAGAAATCCCAAGAGATATTTGAGATACGTCATGGTCGCTCGAATGTCGCATTAGATTCAAGTACTGATACTTGGGCTGTCTCAGGCGAGGCTGTCTCAAACCTTTACCCACCTGCGGATTAGATTGCCGCAGAAACTGAACTGTCTCTTGCACTCCTATTAGGATGTCGTGCTGTGGTCGCCCGTAGCTCCCTCCCTCAATATAAACCAAGGAAAGCGACAGTTGTTGTGAAGAACACCCCTCTTCTCACCCACGATACTTTTTAGAAATGTCGGGTATGCCAATAAGGCGGGGTCTTGTTACCAGTTTCCATCGGTGTGGTTGGAAGAGACGCGTTAAAGTTATCGAGCAATCCAGAGGACATGGAGAATGTGACAGCGTGTTTACCAACAGAAAGAGCATGTAACTCCCGCAGATCCACGGACACTAGACGCCATGGTTGAGAAGAGCTTCAAGAATTGCCAAACTATAACCATGAATCAGCATGTCTACGATGTGCGTATTGAGTGTCTTTTTAGCGAAATCGAGGTATGATAGTGGTTCAAAGCTTCTACGTCCTTGGCAGCAGCGCGACTCGCTTAAAGGGCGGTCCGGTCGGGATTGAGTCTATTCGGGGCTCAATGCGCGGTTATTTATTGACTCCCTTATTTAGCAAAGGGGCGTTGGGAATGCGCCAATCAAGGAGTGCGGGAGGCTGCAGCTTGTTTTTCCATGGGAGATAAATTATTCCTGTGGTTCTATAGCTGAATGGAACAAAGGAATTAGTCCAATTGATAGAGACCTTCAGTGTATGCAGTGTTCTTGGGCATGAGGGTCGGAGAGGGAGAGGTACACAATTGTTGCATGTTTATAGATTAGATACGACCAAAAGTGCAAGTTATTCAACATAGATGAATAGTGCTCTCTAATTGAGACTGCCGTTTACTGTTATATCACTTCTTCATTCAGGCCTAGCCAGCTCTAGCCTGAATAGTCTTATCATCTTCATAATCCAACAAAGGTTTTTTAGTCGCTGCTGCAGTGCGTTTTGTTATCACGCGTTAATTTCTATCCAATGTACTCCGCATGCTTGCAAAAGACAACATCAGACCGAAGCTCTTCTATATCTTCATACCGCAGACATATCGCAACTACGACATCGCCTTCACGCGTCTTGGGCAATAGAAAGGTCAACCCCTCTACCTCATTGCATCTCGGCTTTCGTACAGCTTCGGGCAATCCCAAGCCAAGGTTAAAGTCGAAGGAACAGCCCCCCAGTTTCGCCCACGAACTGAAAATGAGGTCCGTTGTTGTATCGATCCCCGCGCCAAAGGAGAATTTACTCTTGTCAGGCGTACGGCTCAGGAAGGTTGCAATGGCACGTGTGTGGTGTTCCAAGTGCGATTTGTCGCTTAGGGCTAACCGAAGCTGCTGCGCAATGCTACCCAATGGCTCCTCAATGAGCCTTCTCATAGGGAACTCGTTATATACATTGCTTTGTATCGGGCCTGGGTAGAGAGAAGAAATACCGAGAACACCCCTTACATCCACAGCGCGCATGAGGGTCGAGTGAGAGGATGGATCCAACCGCCGCAGACGAGCCCAAGTAACAGATTGCCAGATGAAGGCTGTGAGAGCATCGTCGGTGGAGACGAAGGATGGCGGTGTGAGGGATGCCATAGCAATTGATTTTAATGCTTCCTGTGAGTGACGAGAGATCTTGAAAGATGTCCATGAGCATTTGGGCATCAGAGTCTCTGGCGAGTCTGATGGGTGTCTGTATGGAGCGGGTTCGACCATGTAACGATCGAGCTCGGTTCCTATCATATGGCTGTCTTCGAGCAAGGGAACTATATCTCGGCGTGGGAGATTGCCGTCCTGGATCTCCTGGTCTGTGAAGTCCTCGTTTCGACATGCCTTAGAAAACAGATGGATGATATTAGTTAGGCCCGTCGCATCCATAGCATTGTGTTGAGCGACGAAGGTGAGAAGAAGGCCTCCCGTTATAAAATTTGCTTGGATAAGAACGACGGGGGCCGACACATCGTGGCTGTCTGGGAAAATATTGCGAGGCGCCAAAATGTTTTGGTCAAGCATGCTAATGGGGAATTTGGCACGCTGTAAGTCGTTCATTGTCGCGATTGAAGGGTCACGCTGTAGATCTCTCACTATCAGCTGGGCTTCGTTTTGCAGCGGCCTGGTCAAGAAAGAACCCGTATCACCATCTCCCGAGCCCTCATTGACAACCTGACCTGCTAACCACGGAAAGCTTGTACTGAGTCTCTCAAGACCTTTGGTAAGTGTATCGATGATTTTGGGGCATGCGGAGTTGTCTGGGATGGGAAAGCAGAAACATGATTGAATATTGATAGTGAAGGTCTGTTGACCGAAGATGTCGAGGTATTCGTTCATACTGCTTGAGAAGATAGAATGGGAAGTTGGCTTAAAAGATGATGGATATATACATCTATTGGATGTAGAAATTTTTCAATTTGCGGTGGTTGTATAAATCATCATGATTCATAATGAGTTGACAGCAGACTAGTCCTGATCGGGTCGCCGACCGAATTTACATGTTATTACAACTAAGAAACACCCCGCTGAATATCGTCGCAGCTAAAGAACTCCACGCATAATTAATACTGCTTTTCTAATGGGCTGGTTGAGTGGATTTGCACAACAGGGGTACGTGATTCGAAGTCGAGACGTTGTGCGGC